TACTAATTTTATTCCCTACGTTCACCTTGTCTCGATATTTTCTACCAGAATTCGAGATTGAACTTTGTATTATCCCAATACGAATTTTGTGTAACCCTTGGTAGGAATTGGGTCAAAATATCGTATTCGAAAAATGAGCTCATCACGATACAAAGTTATATCCGGCCATTTTCGTTGTTACCCAATAAAATCCCCAACAGCCATAGTATCCTGGCGCCTTTTAGGGGGCGCCGCAAAGTCTTCGCCTCGCCTTATTACAGAAGGCTGTTTGGAGATGCTTAAGCAACACCGCGGCGACGCTAGGGCGATGCCATGGCACTGGGAAGGCTAGCCCAGAGCCTTGTAAAGCCGAACCCAAGCCCCAAAACCGCTTCGACATCAACCTTGAAACCGAACCCTTAACTTCTCATCCTCTCTCTCTCCTTTCATCTCTCCCCCTGCTCTCCTCTAGTCTAGTCGCTAATGTCCACTGCTATGTGCAGCCCCTCCCCTTCTCATCTCTCTCCCCTCTCTTCTGGTCTAGTTGCAAATAACCGCACATCACATCATGGAGTTTTTTTTCACTATTTCTTATATTTTTTAATTTGTTATCTACTTTATTGCTTTGATAGTGCTACTATTTATTATACTATTAGTATTAGTATTTTTTAGGGTAGTACATTATTATCTAGTTTTAAATTTCAAATTAATTATTTATTTTTATTTTTTAATTATTTTTTATTTTTTTGGCATGTTACTATAAAATTAATAATTATAGGCATTAATTTCTTATAACATATAATATATATAAATTTTTATACATGTGCGCCGTGTTCGCCATTTTATCGCCATGGCGGGCGCCCTGTCGCCATGGCAATTCACAGGCGCCGCACCGCAAAAGGGCGCCGTGACAACCTTGCTAATTAGATAATTAAAATTAAAGAGCACCGGCTTATCATTATATAAATAAAGTTCGAGTCAAAAGCATAAGTCGGAAATTAGTTCAAAAACCAAAGTCTATTTTTTAAAAAACGCATAGAGTTAGAAAACAGGGGCAGCAGCATGTTTCATCCTCCAGCCAGCCACCGCCCAACTGTCCTCTTCTTCTCCAGGAAATCTTTTCTTCTCCTCTTGGATTTCTCTTTTTGGATTTCTCTTTTAAAGTAAGTGAGATTAATCTTAGGTAATCAATATGTTCTAGTTTCTAAACCTATTTGTTGATTCTTGGTGGTTTCTTTGAAATTTTTTTTAAATGGGTTTGTAAAAGATTTTGAATTTTCCCATCTTTCCTTTAAGAGGTTTATTAGGATGATATTTAGGGTTTTTAGGAAAATCTTTACGGTAATTTAAGTAGGAAAGTGAATGATTTGTGAAACAGGTTAGAAACTCTAATTTTGCCCTAACCTAGTTTACGAATTTTAGGGAAATAATGTGATTATCTTAAATATTATAATTTTTGGAGTTAGATTATGCCTATTTGGATTGACATATTGTCCAAATGTTTATTTGGCAAAATAAAGTGAGATTTTATTAAACACCAAATATGACACCCCTGTACGCTTTTGTCCTCACTCACGCGCACCTTGAGAGAGTTCCGGAGGTCACCCATCCTCAAATTACTCTAAAAGCAAGCACGCTGTAGAGGATGGGTGATCCCTCGGAAGTCTCCCAGGATGCGCATGAGTGAGGATAGAAGCGCTGGAAGGACTCATGTTGACCTGTAAGGCCAGTCTAGAATCCCGACATGCCCGACTTAGCCTGACTTGCAGGCCGGGATGTCACATTCTTTGCCAAATATCATAACAAACACATCAGAATACTACAACATACTCTGCTTCACAAGTTGAACGAGTACAATCAGTTGCTTTTTAGGATTCTACGTGAAGAATTTCGCATAAAGAATGCAAATCCAATAGTACATTTTCAATCATCCCTATCTCCGCCCCACTCATTCTCAAAATAACCGACAAACTTGAAATCTTGAAGAGTTGTGGATCAATATTGTTGAAAGAGTACAAGGGGGACCGAAAATTCATGGAACAGTCCAACCGCAATAAACACACAGAATGATTTGTGGCAATACGTGGTTGTTACAGCAACAAAACAGAAGATATGAGAAAAGAAATGGAAATCACAACATTAGCAAGTTGTTTACCTGGATCGACCTATGACCTCGTCTTTAAGGATCCCAATCCCAAGCATATTCACTATATACTTCTCAAAATATAAAAGAATACATCAAAACAGCAGCCTAAATGCTTAGCTCACTCATCCTCTCTATGAACCCTTTATGCATACCACTAGCACTGTTCTACCGACTAGTTTAGAGTATAAGAACTAACCATCAATTGTGTCAAGGCCGGATCGATAGCCTTCACCAACACTCGAACTTTGATATCTAAGAGCGAGGAATGAAAATCTCACACGAAACACATTCTCCCATCTCTCTATTTTCTCTCTCATGATTTGGAAGTGAGAATCGCTTCTGCACATGCAGCTCAACCTTAAGCCACATTCTAAAACCACTTCCACAAGGCATGAGAAACTCTTTCCAAAGCTCAAGATGACACAACACACTTTGATCCATGGGAGATTGCCAAATCCCTCAAAAACATTTTTCATGCAACACAAAATACCCAAAAATGCACCTTGGTCAACTTTTAATAAAAAGCTACGTTTATAGTTTCCATTTTTGGTGGAAGCTTCTTTTCCCTCATGCACTCTTCCACGTGCATAAAACCTCTACAAAATCAATACTTTGAGTCGAATATTGTTTAGAGAGGCTGGAACTTCGATTTAGAAAAAGCCACCTTTTGCAGAAATTACCTAATGCAACATTAGAATTATATGCAAGGCTTCTTACTTATCTTAGGGACAATAGGTTATTCTCCCATTATTGTGACAACTTGGAAATAAGTGTTTTAATCCCCCTTTTTGGCATGATGGTACTTAAGAATGTCAATGCAATACAACAATTAACCATACCGAGAGAGTTTTAGGAGTTTATAGTTCATTAAATACTAAAATGCAGCCTATAAGTATTAGAAACCACAAAATGATGGAATAATGGTAAAATAAAATTTGCCAAGAGCCAAAATAGCATCAGCTCCCTATTTCATTCGCACTTCAGAGCATTGTTCCCCCCATTTCTTGAGAACAATCAGCCAAAAGGATCAATCAGCATCAAGTCCGGCTGCCACTCTTATCATTTTCTTAGAATTTTCAATCTTCACCCATAAGATCAAATACACAATACTAACTCTTATTTGTTCATATACATTCATATACATATTGAAACATCAGCACCTCAATTAAGGGTGCAAGGCCTAATAAACATCGAAGGCCCTCAGATTTCATGCTGATGGCACTACAACCATAATGGCAACAATCATAGATGTCCAAGTCACTCCACATTTGATTCTTAAAATGTTCATGTTCCTCGATTATCTACAAATTTGGTGTTAGTAGAAAAAACTTGCCAAAGATCTAACAGGCTCTGTTATAATTGATGAATCCAGTTCTAACTGACAGGCTGGATCTCGGGAAAGAGAATTGGACTAGCTGAGCAACATTGGACTCTAATACTTGAATACGTCTAATCAACCAGAATTTGGTTAATATGCCTTGTCCACATGGTCTTCTTACTCCAATAAGGATGTCATCTAGTTACATCATAGACGTCTAGGCCATGATGCTTTTTCTACATTAAAATTAATGTTCCTATATTGTTCAAAAGAGTTGGAGTTCAGTCTTTTCATTGTGATTTGTGACATTTGTAAGTATGCTAAAAATGCTCATATTCCATTTCCTATCAATAATAATAGATCATCATCTATTTATTGTTAATCCAAAGTGATATTTGGGGGCTATCCACTATTCCAAACACCTCAGGTTCTAGGTGGTTTGTCAAATTTATTAATAAATTGCACAAAAGTCTTTTATATTTATTTGTTAAAACATAAATTTGATTTCTAGCTACATTTTTCCAGTTTTCATGCAATGATTCAAAATCAATTTGGCACAACAATAAAGCACTTTCGTTCAGATAATGCTCGAGAATATTACAATCAAACATTTATTTAGTTTTTTCAAAAGGAATATGTCATACATGAATCTTGTATCACCTTCTTGAATGGTCAAGATATCCAAGTCTTTGGACTCATCAATGGCAACTACAATGTAGTTGAATTTTGAATTCAATGATCATACAATTGATCAATCTTTTTACTGCATTTTCCACGGGCTTCCAAGCATCACAAGCTCGATGGAAAACCCTCAATATGAATGCACCACATCCGAAAATTACCTCTAGTGAGGGTTGGTGATTAGAAGGGAGTGGTTGGAAAGAGAGGTTATTAGGATTCTTATGTAGGAGGTAGAAGAAAATTTTGGAGAATTTTTTTAAAACTAATATTTCATTCACATTAATAATTTACACAAATGATAGCAAACAACGTTAATTATGATGCAATGTATAAACATCTATAGTATTATATTTAATGGTATAATAAAAACAATGTATAACTCTTCCCCCACATTCCCAATTTCAGATTATGCTCTTCAATTACTGTGCTCCATTGTAACACTTCATGCTTTTTATGCTCTACAATCTCTACTTGTAAATCTCAATATATACTTCACAATCTCCACTGTGTTGCTACTCTTCATATATGCTTCTACGGATACAGGTTACAAACCAATGCACTTAGGAGATCAACATTTTTGTTCCATTGTACTACCCTTACAATTGTTTGATCTTCAATGAAAAATGAAAGGCTGAAATTGAGACTTAGAACAATATGCATAGGTGTCCTTAGTCATTTGATATCTAAATCTGAGATCATGAGCATTAACTATGTAATTCAATCTCCCTATCTTATCATTCAAACTTGGTAATATCTTTTTCATCAAGGTTGAAATCTTAGAAACTTACACCTGTGTTTCCCTTCCTAAATGATTAGACGGAAACCTGGTTTTAATTGTACAGTAAGTAGGAAAGGAATGCGTTAATGACAGCATACCTTCCACCGGTCCAAAGGCAAGACTTGCATCATCAACACCTACAACACCAAACCAGAATTTCAGATCTTCCAGCAATCTCTAAAACGGGAAACATTTAAAAAGTTACCACGTTGATAGACTGGGTGAATAGGATCGGTCATGCAACATTATGTGTTGGGAATAGCTAAAAATGAATTCAAACAATGATACAAGCTTTATACCAGCGCAGAAAAAACATGCTACTGGAATAGAATACTGGCACACGAAATAAGGTGGTGGAACACATTCAATATATCATTACTGCATAGCTAAAGCAGAACATTCTTGTAAAATAAAAACAAAGTGGAAGAAATCACCCTGACTTTTCCCTCTTGTGAATTGATTATGATTGAAAAGCACACATACCCATGATGGTATGCAAAACAATGCATCAGTATATACATGTAGCCGTGTATCTTTGACAACTCAAAGGAACAAACACCAGAAAAGGGCCAATAACAAACTCAAATGACGCAGAATCAAACCGTTTAAATCCTTCCATTAGGCCAAAAAAACATTCCTAAAGTTGAGCAGGAAAGTATCATTTCTGTAATGACAAAATACTAAACAACTAATCAACTCTACAATGGACAAGTTCATAAAATACTGATTATTTCTTATTTGCGATCCCTCCGACTACAAAAGAAAAGATAATGCTCCATTTTCTCTTATATCTTCTAAACTAAGTAAACCATTTATCATTACTCGTTCACCCTCTTCAATGTTTTACTTCTGATGCAACGATAAATAGAACTAAAAAAAAGTACATAACTAGGCAAATTACCAAAGCATGTACTCATTCCACATGAAGCAACTAATTGAGCATAGGAACAAAGTACAAAATCAGAAAAGCTGAAATCGCATAGCACAACAATGAGCATCCAAATGTTTCTAAAGGATAGGAACAGATGAACAATTGTGTTTATGGATTTGAGTAATAAGTTATTAATAAGCTCAAAATATTTCATATGCAAAGTGAAATGAACGGTAAGAAGATATCTTCTTTACCTTTATCAGCAAACTGCAAATAGGAATCAACTTTAGAGGCAGGGGTGGAATTCTTCCAGCTAGGCCCATTTTTATTCCTCTCCGTCAAAATATCCTCAATGTCCTTGTAGTAATTCATCTTGGCGGACCCGTTCCCGTTCCCATCATGATGGTTCTGCTTAGCTTTCTTGTACTCCTTCAACAAATTCCTCCACTTGTCCGTGCACATTGTTGGGGATCTATCAAACCCCTTTTCCCTCATCTTCATGGATATGTTATCCCAAAGATGCTTGTTGGACTTAGAGGTGTTGAACAGCATATCTATTTCCTTCCGAAGAGATATGAGGGCCCGGGTTTCTTCTTGAATCCACGTCTCCGCCCTTTTCTTGGGAGCAGAAGAAGACGGCGGGTTACCGCAATTATGACCGGCGGCGGTAGGGGTGGAGTCATCTCCGCCGCTAGAGGTGGCACCACTGCCATCGGTGAGCAGGAGGTGGGGCTGCAGGGGCAGCGGGATAATCATGTTGTTAGGGTGAGGAGTTTCGGGTTTGTTGCTATAGAAATCTATGGCGGCGGATTCATCTTCGTCTTCTTCTTCTTGATGGGGTTTGTCCGGCAAGAACATGACGAACTGCTTCGTGCTCTTCTCGTCTCGTCTCGTCTTGATTTATTAAACCACTCTTCCTCCTTCGAGGGTGGAGTGGACCATGGGTGGGTTTCACAAAATTTGGGGTCTCGTTGGGATATTTAGATGATGGGTCTCGAACATAGCTAAACTGGAGTACTACTTTAGAATGAAATAATTAAGGCTCTACTTATTAGACAGAAATTTTGATTATTGAAGAGTTTTGATAATAATAATAATAATTTAAATAAAATACATAAATTTGATATGATATAAATACACTAAATTAAATAATATATTATAAAATCAAGTTCAATTCCATTTTTATTTTTTTCTTATGATAAATTTCGCTCTAATTTATTTTATTTTTTTTCTTAAAAAAAAAGATATTTCATATTTGTAATGGTAAATAATTACTATCATTTTTATTTAATTTTTATTTATTTATATATTACTTTCAAAAATATTTTTATATAAATTTTAATTACACAATAAGTAATTTTTAAAATAATAATAATAATAATAAATTATTTAGTTTGATTATATTTTGTATAAAATATTTTATGATTCAAAAAACAAATAAAATAAAATGAATGTAAAATGACAATTATATTAAGAAAATAAAACTATAAAATACAAATATAAATAAACTAAAATATTATTTATTATTATCTTGTTGATTAATGTATTACTTTCAAAAGTCATATGTTAATGCATTCAGTAGTATTATATATATTGTCTCTAATTCGCCTATGTTAAATCAGAAGTCGCTGAAATCGAACATCTTCATCAATAGCTCTTTCATCTATAAATGCCTATTACCTGTGCAATGAAATCATATCATTTTCGATAATTATAATATACATGATAATGCACCTCCACATTATGTCATGCAAAATATTTGTATCCAAAAAACAACATGCATGATACTGCGATAATTGCAAAAAGTGTTGCAAAACTCCGAATGCACGATCAACATATTTCCTACACTTCTCTTATTTAATTGCAAAATATTGTTTCTTTCAAACTATGTGGCTTATGAATAATTTGCACTAGTTTTTTACCATTTTGGGTATATAGCATAAGCTAAATTATATCAGATGTTGTACTATTTTATTTGATAACATTATTTAGAACTTGAGTAATACCTTGTGAAAGATTAGAACATAAATTTGATGACTCGAGCACATTGATGTCATTATTTGTCTTTAACAAACCAGAATAGGCATATCATATCCAAGTATTATAATCGGCTACAACTTCCAAGATGATTGTTAATTTTCCTAAACGTCTTGTATATAATCCAACAAATATTGTAGGACAATTTTTCAACTTCTACTGCATACAAGCTAGACTACCCAATATTCATTGAAAGTCATGGTTATAGCCAGCATGCAGAGTCTTATCATTAGCATTAAGTAATCTTAGGAAAGTTCTTGAAAAAATTTTAACAACCGACAAAATCTCTTAAGACTCTCAATTACAGTTAACTCATCGACTTTCACATATTTTTCTGTGGCATCTTCTAGTACTATACATGCCACCATATTCGAAAAATAGTAGTTTGCTTTTTTGAGATGTGATCATCCAATATTTTTCTACTCTATCACACTGTTGCTAGAAGTATTTATCATGATATTTAACACTCTAAAAAATACAAAATAAGAAAGATTAGGACATTCGAAATCGGCGAGGAAATTTTTCATCGTTGTATTTTGAATTATCACTGAAGTAATTATTGAATAAATTGAGATCCGCAACTTCATGATTACAACTGATCAGTCTACGACCGAGAGTTAAACCACCTGGAGAAGAATAATTGAGCATATAAAATTATCTTGCAATTTTATATTGTTATTTTGAATCATTTGGAGTAATACTTCTTGTTTCATTTCATATTCATCACTCGAAGAAGATGATAATGAATTATGATGTGAAGAACTAACATTGTCATAATTCATTTATCAACTTAGATGAGTTATATGTTCATATTACAGTGATATCTATAAATAAATAAATTAATTAATTAATTAATTAAAAATGAATATAAATTAACATTGAATACCATAATTGGATGATTAAAGTTCATTCAATATTGAATATCATAATTAAATGGATACAACTCATATTTCAACATTATATATCAATTGAATTGATATAATTCACAATGTAAGATTGGATATCATAATTGAATGGATACAATTCATTTTTCAACATCGGATACCAATTGAATTGATACAATTTCTCATCCAATATTAGATACCATAATTGAATCGATACAGTTTGTATAACAACATTGGATACCAATTGAATTGATATAAATTTGTAATTCAACATTGGATGTCACAATTAAATAATACTATTCATATTTCAACATTGGATACTAATTGAATGAATATAATTCATATTTAAACATTGGATACAATTGAATGAATAAAAGTCATATTTCAACATCGGATATCAATTGAATGGATACAGTTCATCATCCAACATTGGATGCCATAATTGAATGGATACAATTCATATTTCAACATTGGATAGAATTCATCATCCGACATTGGATACCATAATTGAATGGATATAAATCATTTTTAACATCATATACCAATTGAATGGATACAATTCAACATCAAATATTGGATACCATAATTGAATAGATACAATTCATATTTCAACATTGGATACTAATTGAATTGATATAAATTCATAATTCAACATTTGATAACATAATTCAATAATTAGCACTCATATTTCAATATTGACTGCCAATTGAATTGATATAATTCGTAATTAAGCATTGAATACCATAATTGAATGGATACAATTCATTTTCAACATCGGATATCAATTGAACTCATACAATTTATCATCCAATATTGGATACCATAATTTAATGAATACAATTCATATTTCAACATTATATACCAATTAAAAGGATACAATTCATCATCTAACATTGGATACCATAAGATTTTTGTCTATATATACTAACATTTAAATATATATATATAACATTTAGCATTATTATTCAAAAAAAAAAATCATCACTTTTTTTTTATATATAATTTCTCATTCAAACAAAATGAGTTCTTAAGCTTTTGGATACGGTGTCCATGAAGATATCAATTTGCATGTAATTTATATGAGTATTTTTCAAGATCTTGTCTTAGGTGTGCATTAATCTAAAAAGCAATTCTGAGCAAGAGTTGAAACAACATATAATAAACAAAGGGGACCTGAATAAGAGGTTGTAATGTCAAATCATTACAATATCGATGAAATAATATATAGAAGGTTGTTCAGAAATTATATGTGTCTGGTAAAATTAAAAACACAAATCCCAGTGGAGCATTGGAACAAGATATTGTAAGTATATAAAAATTATATGTCATTATTGAAGTTTGATATGTTTGAATATATTTACTATATTCCAAAGCTATTTGCAGTTGGATCGAACAAAGTTGTTATTTATGAACAATTGAACCTTTAAAAAATGCTTCAAGTTTGACCATGTTTGGAATTCACTAAAAAACTTTGAAAAAAATTGCGATAACATCTCAACTGTAAGATAACAATCTGAATCACAAAGAGCCGGCTATGCCTCTTCTGATCCTGGTAATCCTGATTCTACTTTTGAATCTAATTCTCCAACATCGCAAGGAGTGAAGAAGCCTAAACTAAAAATAAAATTTTACAAAGACTCGGACCCAACTGGACCCAGTGACAACATTTTAACAGTGCAACAAAAATTCATACTTTCTATTCAACAATTGCAGTGTAGCAACTAGGGTCATCTCCATAGTAATCGATTGATTTATATCTTTTACTCAGTAAAAATCAATTAAGGAATCTGGATTTATAGTTTTAAATCTAATCCTAAACTAAAAGAAAAAGAAAAAGTTAATTAAGCAAAACTAAGAATGCAAGAACTTCGAATAAAGATAGTAAAAAACGCCTAGTCCAATGAGTGATTTCAAAAGTGAACCATGGGTTTGATCATCTATGGCAATTTTATTCTATTAAATTTATTAATAAAATTGTTCGAGAAGTCGCATGTGCCTAAGTTCCAACTTTTATTTACAGAATCATTAACTAAGGTACGATTATTAATTAATTTCTAAGTTGAAGAAAGAAATCCGGGTACGACCACAAATTTAAAATTTTCAATTACATTAAACCCTAGAAAAGCCCAGTTATAATTCACTAACTCCTAAGCAGGATTATCGAAAACGTATCATAAATTCTTAAGATGGTTTGTAAATATTTTATTGTCACTAGATCAAATAATCACATAATACAGATGCAATCATTCATCTGACTATGGTTTATTAACTTAACCTAAATATCTCTGGCCACAATATAAGATCAAGAAAATAGACAAAGAAACACTACACAAAAATTTTACGAATACCAACAAATGCAATAAAAATTAACAAATAAAGAGTTAATCTCACAAACCATGGTGTTCAAATCTTCAATAGATCATTGGACAAGATATAAAACTTATTAATCTAAACAAAAGTAAAAGAACAACAAAAAGGGATAGAATAGTATCAAGGCGAGTTTTTCTTCTATCAAAATATCGGCGCGTGATTTTTTCCTCAAGAATGCGACTTTGCATCTCTTCTCTCCAAGAATTTTTTCTTCATGTTGCTATCCACGAAATCTATTACGTTTCTCTCTTTTATATCCTCTTTCTTTCCTCCACATGTTTAGCTTTTTTTTTTTCTCTTGGCCCAACCCACTTCTTTCTTGTTTTACTTGATTGAGAACGGCGGTTGAATGGATTAGATTAGATGATTTCTCCAAATATTTAGGGCCTCCAAGATATGATATATTTGACTTGAGTTGTTATGAGGATAATTTTTCTCTATCCAAAAATTGAAATAGTTATACAATTCAAATTTCTAAGATTCAAGTCACAATTCTAGACAGTTTGGCTGCTCTTAGTCATAGGCAAGACTAAGAAGAAACATGTTGTGCTCTATTTTCATCTTCTACTTTTCGTTGTATGATTGTCTTGGATTTTACCTAAAATAACTCAAAATTAGTAAAAATCTATTCAAACCATCAATATATACATATCAAAAGTCCATGCAAAATTTAACTTATCAAATCTCTCCACACTTAAGA